TACTCGGCCTATTTTATTTTGAGGCATTTATCTTTTAGTATATTGGGATCATTCCATTTCTTCAATTTGTATTTGACAGAGCACTATGGAGAGCAGATAAATACTCACAGTAATTGCTACTGAGACCTATGTAATCAGTTTGCATAACTAAGCCAATAACACTTTTAAATTCTCCTCATTTTAGAGATCTATTGCACTAGAGATTGATTTTCCACTGACAGTCGCTGGACACTGTCAGTCCTGATGAATCCATTTTGTTAATTGTCTCCTCTAATGCTGGCAACAAGTGTCAAAGAGATTTTCAGAATGAAGAATGTAGAGCCTTAATTTTACAAAGGGCTTTGTGTGAAAAATCAATAGAGCTTGTTTGCAAGATCAGGACCAGATTTTGATCCACAGACTAAAAGGCAAAGTGTAGGTCAAAAAAGAGAAAGAAGAAAGAAACTGTTCATCTGATGAGCAGTTTATGTTGCATACAGAGATTATCTCTGTGCTGAATAAAAAGGAGAAGGGAAAGAAGGCAGGGGTAGAATTCTTCATTTTGGGCAAGGTCATACAAGAAAAACCTTTGAGAACATTGAATTTGTAGCAGACAAGCCTTTTAACAGGTTATTTGGGTAGTTGTAATTAGTATTAAAATTAGAATCAAGAGGTCTGCCCACTATTTCCCTTTTGCATGTTGTTTTCCTGACATACATATGTTTTGCTAACCCACATACTGTATTTTGAGTTGCCCTAATTTGGTCTTGTGTACTGTAGGAATGACATCAGTGGTAACAAAATGCCTCTATTAGTGGTGTGAAATGCAGAATCTGTTGCAATGGCAGCAGTTCAAGCTACAACTTTGTGATGCCACAGAAGGGAGAGAAAAAAAAAAAGGCAGTATTGGAAATAATTGACTGTAGTGGAAGAGGGTTATAGAAGTTATTCAGTTGGATGTACCCAGGACAATAGAGTCAAAAATCTAGATCTTTAGGAGAAAGAAGGAATAATCAGATGATGTTTTCTAGCTACAACCGGCCTGCTTTAATTACCTCAAACTTTCATGAAGGCTGAACTGAAGCTGCTCACTGGTGATTCCTGTCTTTCCAGATCCCAAGTTCAGCTGCGGGCTGCCTTTGAGGACGCGGAGGTGAAGAAGAGCTCTGCGCAGCACCCCTTCAGCCCGCCACAGGACACGTGGTGCTCAGGCTGCTAATAACCCCCGCCAAAGCCGACAGCAGCAGAACACGGGCAGCTCAGCAGCGGCTTGGGAGCGAGAGCGGGACTGGCCTAGCAAGAGCAACAGACACAAACAAGGGCCAGCGCCGCAGGGCACTGGGAGCCGCTCCGGGTGCTTCAGCACATGCTGTTGACGGTAGCGCTTAGGAAACCACGAGCGCTATCGAGCCAGGGGGGCCTTCCCATGCTTTCCAGAGGCGAGGGTGTCACGGCCTTCTAGGAGAACTGCGGGCTGGGCAGAACTTTCTAGAACTCAGTTCTAGAAGAACAGAGGACTGTGATTGTCTGATGCCCCTGCGCCCGAGCTCACACTTGTGTTTTCTCCCTCCTCCTCCTGTGCTGAGCATGAAGCTGAGCTGTACAGTGCTTTTAGCACAAGTCCAGGCAAAGCTGCTGCACTTGTGGGCTCAGCAGAATCAACTCCACCAGGGACTGAATAAATGTAACACGAGGCATCCAGCCATCCTTCCTCCGTAACTCATGGTTTCTCCGAAACTCCGCTGCTGTGTGCGGAGCTGCAGCTGAAGGGTGACAAGAACCTTCTGCTTCTTGACAAAACAGAACAACCCCCGTTCACCACAGCCTGCTCTTTGGCAGACTGCACAAACCTTTTATTTCTGTTTGGCTGAATCTTAACAGGAAACTCCTACCACTGCTCTTCCAAAGGCTTCCAGAGAAATGAGCCTCCCCGAAAATAATTGCTTTCCCCTGGGAATGACCCATTTCCTGAGGGTGAATGGCAAGGAAAAGAGGGAAGACACTGAGCAAAGATCAAACTGACGTTTTAGATCTTGCATCCTGGGTCTGAAGCGACTGCCTGGGTGTTTTGCTGGCACTGCTCAATTCATCTGCAAAGTAGCACAGGCTCAGATGCATCCTGTTGCTGGTAATTAATCACTCTTCTGAGCCATCACAAATAAACTTCAATTTGTACTAAGTGTGATCTTCAAGTAGATTTGAAAGTAACGCTACATTTCCCGACTATGATGTTGCTCTTCACGTTGCTTCTGAAACTGGTGTGGTTACTGCTCCGATCACTTGCAGGACTCATTGCTCCACTTGAGCAGGAAATCTAATACAACACAGAGACTGCATTGCCTGAATTTTCCCTTATGTATCCCTAAATGTTTTGTTACTTGTTTGCCCTCTATTCAGTGACATACAGAGAACTTCCTCATCCTGTTTGCCAGGCAGAGGATAAAGCTTGTAAATAAATATGCATTTGATTTGCATATTTAGCTTGCCAGAGAATTGTGATTTTTTTCAAAGAATCTGTAATGAAAGTTTATTGTTGCAGAAATCACTTGGGCAATCAGTCCTGATGGTGAGCCTGATTATAGCTGTAATATTTACAAATGTCATTCAGCCATTTCATGTTAATTAGGGTCAAGTCATCGTAAAGCTAGATTCCTCTACTGGATATCACTTATCAGTGAAAAAGCAAAAAAAAAAGAGTATGAAAGAGAACTTCTTGACTTCACAGTCATAGTTTATCTACTGCTTTCATAAAAACATCTGTCTAGAGAAGTAAATAAAATATAATCTCTGTCAGTTTTGATAATGAAAGCTATTATACGAGGCTGCCAACTATTTGCTTTGTTTAAGGTACTTATTAAACCGGCAGAAGTGTTATTTCCCATGAAAAACTGGATGGCTCCAGAAATTGCTAATGGTACAGAAAATTCTCAGACATTCTTCAGAAATTTAGGTGAGGACTGTCACCATCTGATGCCAACTCCATACTCAGTAGCTGCTATACAGTTTCCACAGTGTACAGAGATGTCCCTGCTTGTGTTTCTTACTGCATCTTTGCTACTCCTGAAAGTAAGACTAATGAATGGACGGTTATAGACTGTTTATTCTTACGTATGAGGCACATCAGCAAAATTATATTGCTGCTTATTGTGATGCTGCTGCCATGCTGTCACACACACAAATAACAACCAGGAGAACAGAGGTAGAGCAGAAGGCAAGATTGAAAATCTGTCTAATGATTTTCACTTTTTTCTCTTCAAACTTTTTAAGGGTGCAGATTTTGAAAGATCAGATAAAAAATTAGACTGTGGAAGACAAATATACACACAGCCACGTGCATATATATACATACAGCATAATAAAAACTATATATATATATATATGTATATTTTACTATGCTGGACAAAATATTGTGACTGAGATGTAATGAGCACGCACGGCTCATTGGGAGGTAGAAGTGCTCGGCCTGTTATACGGCCAGGTCTGAAATCCCGTTTTTTTCCCCTGTGATAAGTCTGTGATAAGGCCAAGAAGCAGATTTTTTTCTGTATTAATCATCTGAATCTTTGTCATTTAAATGTCAACCGCATAAATTACTTTTCATGGATTAATGATAATGAAAGCCACTGTTTGTATTGGAAAGTATGAACAAAGCACATTTGCTATGAATTTTGTCTCAATGCAAATCTATGGAGTTTAGGATGAATGAGGCCTCAAGATGTTAACATTGGCTATTTGTTTGGCGGGAATTGGGAGCCAGGATGGGAAGAAAGTGGACGTTTTTGTGCTTTTATTCATAGGACAGGATCACGATGGTGTTTGGCAGCAACCAACGTGAGGTCCTCCAGAAGCTCCGCTTTTGCTTCCTCATACTAAAGGACAAATCTTCATGCGGAATGGCTCTGAGGGAACTAGAAAGGCCGCGGGTCTCCCCGAGGTCTCCGCAGCAGACGAGGGCCCGCTGTTGTTGGCGCGAGGCCGCCTCGCAGGGCTGCTGCTCACAGGCCCGCGGCGCCCGCCAGCGCCTCGCGCTCCCCCTGCGCGCG